ATGCTCATTAAGATGAGGGATGATAGCGTGGGAATCTTAGAAAAAGATCAATCTTTTCCCACTCCCTTGGTCCTGTATTTATTGTATTTACTGTAGATGGTGACACTCTCAATATTCTCGATCCGAGGATTCCAGAATTTATGTTGAGTTCTGACGTGTGCTGAAGGTCATTGGGGCCACTCATTGGCTGTGTTTAATTCAGTACTTAGAAGCCATGAGAATAGAGGACAAGCAATCTCTGGGATCTGAGTAGCTCGCTCTCCAGCCAGTGAGCCGAGCCTGAGACTACCACACTAATAATACATGTGTTGTGGGAAATCACAGCTTGTGAAAGGGGGATAAATTCAGAACAAATCTGCGGAAACACTACTTAAGTGAGCGAGTAGTAAACGTACGGAACAGGCTCCCCAGGGAGACGGTGGAAGCAGAAAGTGTTGTTTATTTCAAGAACAAAATGAAATAGAAACTAATATCTCCCAAACCATATACTGCATCCCAAGATATAATAATAATAACAATAATAATCATGCAAGGATTATTATTATTATTATGATTATTATTATCCGGGGATACAGGATAGAGGTTGGGACACGAGATGTCAAGCGACGGACAGGATGGTGGAAGGTGAACTCGATGGACCTTGGTCTTCTCTTGCCAGCAAATTCTTACGTTCTTATGAAACCCGGAACCCATTTACTTTTATACAAATGAGGTGTGGAATCCAATTGCATCTGAACATTGTATTTGATGAAGCGCTTTCTCCACTCACTTTCCCTGACCCAAACACGATACCTGAACATTGCAAACATTTGTAAATGTTTCTCATCTATCCAATGTTTCAGAATAAAAATTAAAACACTGGTTCAAATCTGGCCGAGACATGTAACACACTTTAGTTGTGTGCTCGCTTCCTTTTGTGCTAATTGTATGTATTTTTGTTCAGATTGAATTGCTGAAAGGTGATTAAATGGGCTGTGGTACGATTTGAAAATTAGTTATTTTTAGCCTCAGTTTATAGAAATCCTGACCCAAGCATAACATTTACTGGCAAACCAGTTCTGTGTTTATTCAGATTCAACTGAACTGAAACTCAATTTCTCAAGTGTCATCGAGTTGAATTTTCACTGAAAAAAAAATCTTTTTTCATTGAAAAATGGAAAGTCCATGGAAAGATCGGGCAGGATGTGGAAATGGTTCAATACTGAACAGCAGCTAAATGCCCATAAGATGCCTATACAAATGTAAGTGTTATTATGCACCCAAAAAGGGCCACTTATCCAAAAAATTGCATTTGTTTCAATGTATGTTGATGCTTTTGTGACCGAATAGTGGGATTTTATTTCAATCTTGAAAGGTGAAAGCGATGCATTGCACCCACCAACACTGAAATCAGTGACTCTTTCACTTTGTACAGCTTCACAACAAGGACATTATCCCAGTTCCTGTCGTTAAACAAAATCCCGGGTAATTCTCGCCTGCTCGGTACATTTACCACAATGCGTTGGTGTAAGATTATAACGGAAACACACTGTTTTAAGCTCACGCCACAAAGGGTCAGTAAATGTTCCAACCAGGAGAGAATAAGAAACACGCACTCACCAAAAGTTGGGAAAAATGCTGAGGAAGAATCTCCTCGCCCTGTCTAACGAAGGGAAGACACCCACTAGGTTTGGCTTTGACCACAAAGCACGTTTAAGTGATTTAGTTTCCCACAACGCAGAATCTTTTACCACTTTTAGTTCTGTCCCATCAGTACTGGGTGAGGCTCATTAAACACGAGGTTTATGATCCTGAGAGACATCCAGTGACTCCAGTGAGAAAGCAGACAGGAAACGAACATGAGCGATCAACAGCAGTGAAAAGAACCAGGGTTTTAAGTGGTGAGTAATAAAAGTAATCAGGTCTCGGGAGTTATACGATGCAACAGTTTTTTTTAAAAAACAAAATTTGCAACTTCTTCATTTCAGTTCCATACGTTTTGTAAACACATTTGATCGCTAAACGGAAAGCAGCGATAGGAGGAGCAGCAATACCAGGAGCAGGAGTAGCAGCAGCAGGAGTAGTAACAGCAGGAGTAACAGCAGGAGTAGTAGCAGGAGCAGCAGCAGGAGTAGCAGAAGGAGCAGGAGCAGGAGAAGCAGCAGGAGTAGCAGCAGCAGGAGTAGCAGCAGGAGCAGGAGTAGCAGAAGGAGCAGGAGTAACAGCAGGAGTAGCAGCAGGAGCAGCAGCAGCAGGAGTAGCAGCAGGAGCAGCAGCAGGAGCAGGAGAAGCAGCAGGAGCAGGAGCAGGAGAAGCAGCAGGAGCAGGAGTAGCAGCAGGAGCAGGAGAAGTAGCAGGAGCAGGAGCAGGAGTATCAGCAGGAGCAGCAGCAGGAGTAGCAACAGGAGCAGGAGTAGCAGTAGGAGCAGGAGAAGCAGCAGGAGCAGGAGTAGCAGCAGGAGAAGCAGCAGGAGTAGCAGCAGGAGCAGGAGCAGCAGCAGGAGAAGCAGCAGGAGTAGCAGCAGGAGAAGCAGCAGGAGCAGGAGTAGCAGTAGGAGCAGGAGTAGCAGCAGGAGTAGCAGCAGGAGCAGTAGCAGGAGTAGCAGTAGGAGAAGCAGCAGGAGCAGGAGTAGCAGTAGGAGCAGGAGTAGCAGCAGGAGCAGGAGTAGCAGCAGGAGTAGCAGCAGGAGCAGCAGTAGCAGGAGTAGCAACAGGAGCAGGTGTAGCAGCAGGAGTAGCAGCAGGAGCAGGAGTAGCAACAGGAGCAGGAGCAGCAGCAGGAGCAGCAGCAGGAGCAGCAGCAGGAGTAGCAGCAGGAGCAGGAGTAGTAGGAGTAGAGCAAAGTGGATGACAAAGGTCTCACACAATTCATGTGTAATCTCAGGTCTCCACGCTTGTAGGATTCTGGGCTCTCCTCGTGACAACAACAACACCACCACCACCACGATTACATGTGTATAGTGCCTTTCACGTTGTGAGGACGTCCCAAGGCCCCGAATGACATGCTATGATCGCACTTTGCTTGTCATTGACATATCCACCCAATTCTAATCCCATGGCTCAGACAGAACTTTCTTTAAAAGTTAGGCCAGAATTAATGGGTCTTGAATTCAGAATACTCAAGAGCTGACCTGACCCCAGTGATGAGAATTACACACTGGGACTGGAGTGAGCTGGTAAAAAAAAATGAGCGTTTTTTGGACAAAAACAAGAGGCGTCGTTGACCACAAGTGTTCTGGAGAAAAAAAAGATTTTGTTTTTTTAAAAAGAGAGCATCTGTATCGCAATGTATTACCCTGAAATGTTCAAACCTCTCTCTGCTGCAGGTGGAAAATGAGTCATAAAGAAAGCCAGCAAGCTGTATTTTTGGTACAGGTGGATTGATCAGGGCTATGGGGAGAGAGCGGGAGAGTGGGGTTGATCAGGGCTATGGGGAGAGAGCGGGGGAGTGGGGTTGATCAGGGCTATGGGGAGAGAGCGCGGGAGTGGGGTTGATCAGGGCTATGGGGAGAGCGCGGGTGAGTGGGGTTGATCAGGGCTATGGGGAGAGAGCGGGGGAGTGGGGTTGATCAGGGCTATGGGGAGAGAGTGGGGGAGTGGGGTTGATCAGGGCTATGGGGAGAGCGCGGGTGAGTGGGGTTGATTTGGAAGCTCTTTTCAAAGAGCAGCACAGACACGATGGGCTGAACGGCCTCCTTCTGTGCTGTGTAATTCTTTGATTCTACGATAAGCCCCAGCACCTAAAGTATTGTAAAATCCGTACACTCCACAAAGTTTTACGAGCTGGTTATTCCCTTTAACCTTTTCACAAAGACACATCGGGCCATAAAGCAGTGCTTCATCCACAGAGGAACACAATAAGCCAAACACTGGGATCTGGGGAGGAACACTTTCCCTCAATGGCTGTGAAGCAGAGTGGGGAGGGGGTTGGGGGTTGGGGCGGAAGAATTCCCATCATGTGTCACTTAACGCTAATGTTGCCTCATTTTTCGAATGATAAAACAACATACAAAAGGATGCATCTCGTGAGAAATAAGTCCAATTTACAATCTCAGCACATCTGTCAATCTGGTCCAAGCTTCCAACTAAACTTTTCCTACCGCAACTTGTCTTATATTTTGCTGTGGTTGAAAAGAACTGCAGGCGAATCCTGCTGGTTCAAGGGGCATTCACTACAAAGGGTAATGTCAGCTTCGGAAGACAACGGAGAGGTGACAAAGCTCAGCATTGATAAAGCCTTTAGCCTCAGGTGATCACAGCTACAAGGACAGATAGACGCATTCGGGTAACAAAAAAAGACAAAAGACAAGACATTTCCACAGTGCGTTACTGAGCAGTGTGTTAGTAAAACAGTGCGTTACTAAACATGTGTCATATTTGCTGATGAAAACACATCTTTCTTCAATAACAAACAAGTAATATTTATGGTCAACCAATCTGGAATACTCAGAGATTCTTTTCATCTTTGCAGAGAAGTCCAGTGAAACCAGACATTCCTTTGTCTGTAACAATACTGGATCCAAATAAGTTTTTATTAAAAAAATGCTTATGAGTAACAAGTGTTCAATTCCTACCCATTTGTCTCGTTCCAAATCAGAAAAAAAAAGACCACTTTGCCAAGAGTAAAGAGCAGTGTGTAGTTAGGCTTCCAGGACAATAGTAATGAAGGGGGGGGGGAAATCCTATGAGAAAGTGCATGTGAGGGTGTGAGTACACAGCAACGTATTATCATTGTCAGAGACGTTTCTTCCCTTCCTCAGAGCGAGCTGGCCGCAGACTCTATTTAGATGACAAAGATAAGGACACATGAACAAGCACTTTCAGTAGAAGGAAGTCAGGGACAGACAGGGGTGGGCCATTTGGCCCTTTGAGCCAGCTTCACCGTAAAATGGCTTGTCAGGGCCAGACGGATGGAGTCTGCTGAGCGGAGGGAGCGGGCAGGTTGAGATGGCGTTAGCAGATCACAGAGGTAGGAAGGAACAAGGCCACGGAACACTTTGAGTACCGACTGGGGGATGTACCTGATCAGGAGAGGGTCTGTGGTTACTATGCTGAGATCGAGCCGGTGACCGGTGACGATGATGATGGTGATGGTGGTGCTGATGATGGTCATCTTCATAATTGTCTGCCATCAGCTTCATCCGATTCTGCGTCTGTGGAGAAAACAAACACTCTGAAGCCATCTCCTCTCTTCTAGGCCGTGTTTCAGTATGAAGAGCAGAGATAGTTGCCACAGTTCAAGGAAGAGACAGAAAATGAAAACATGCTACCATTAACGTGTTTCTACAAAGCCATCACCAGAGAGAGAGAGAGTGGCCGAAGGGTTCCCGCCAACAGCCAGTGCCTCTCCTCCAAATGACGGCAGTGTATAATCTGCTCCGGGGTAAATTTCACAGAGGAACCGGCTTTTAAACCATATGTGAAGAAAAGCAAAAGTCTTGTTCAAAATGGCAAGAGCATTTTATTTGATTGTATTCGGAAGCACATACTGGAGGGATTAGATCATCCCACTTCTTGGCAAGTAGATGCTAATCTGGTTAATGACAAGTAATCCTAGGAAGATGTTAGGCACTAATACGTGTGTCATCTTGACATATTAGTAGCGCTCTTGCCTCTGAGTCAGGAGGTTGTGGGTTCAAGCCCCAAGTCAGGATATAGAAAGACATAGTCTAAGCTGACGCTCACTCCAATGTCGCGTTGCCATGTTGTCTGCCTGTTCAGGTGGAGGTTAAAGATCTCGCGGCACTATTCAAAAAGAGAAGGGAGTTTCTCTCTCATTCCCTGTGTCCTGACCAACAATTCCCCCAAATAAAACTGGTCACTCACGTCGCCCACTGCTACAGGCGAACAGAAAAATACAGAAACATATTTCAAAAGCATTAACAAAGGGTTAAGAGACAAGTGTTTGGGAAAAGGAGCCTGTGGTGTATTTAGTTTATAGTCAAGAAGCGATTGGAATAAGCTAAGAAGCAGCGATTGAAATAAAACTGGTTCTTAATTAACCTAAGGGTTGCCGCCCATTTGCACCGCAGGGTGGAATCCAAGGCACATCTGCTACATGGAAACAACTGCATGTGGGAGGACTCATAAAACCACAGTTGTTTAAATCTTTGCTGATCTCTGGGGAAGGTGCATAGAAGCCAATGGTGCCAAACCCACAGTGATGTGACCACAGCATCTGGCAGCAGCAGGTTAGACTGTTTACCCGGCTCTGTCAAGTGTCACGACCACAGCAGGGGGAATCATAATAATAACCCTTGCATTTGATACAGCGCCTTATCACTTCGTTGAGACGTCTCAAAGCGCTTCACAGAATATACCGTAAAGTGGAGTGACTGTGTGTTTTGTGGGCAATATACAAAACTGACAAGGTTGTAAACCGCGCTGCATCTGGTTCCGTAATGGCTTCGCTAATAAAGAGGGCAGCAAGAAGAAGGCTGCGTGAGTCAATTCCCAGTCAGTGTTGAGATAGTTTAACTAAGATGGGATGTTATGACTGAGCCGCGCTGGCTAGCGAGGAGGGAAATAATTGCTATCAGGTGATGCATGTTGCAAAGTGTGTGTGGGTGGTTCTCAGGAAAGTACAAGATTGGCCTTGGGTAATATGGCCAAATATCCTGTCAGCACGTACTGTCTAGGCTCAGCTGAGAATAATGGCCACTTGGGCCAGGTCCGAGAGAACTAACTGCCTTTGGTACCTGAGCAAATGGAACAAGGAGAGAAATTACCCCAGGAAACTGATCTGTCAAACGACTAACAATCAGGTTCCTACTTACTGCTAGGTGTAAACAAAAGGGTGTGTGTGGAGTAAGGAAACTTGCCCAAAGTTGGGCCCTGCCCAGGAATCGTACCCAACTCCTCTCACTTGCGAGGCCATTGCTCTAACTGAGGTACAAGACTCCACCAGACAGAACAAGAGGAATAAGTTGAAGACAACAACAAAAAACCAGCCCGATATCTCGTGAGATTGAGGCTGGCGAGAGCAGAGAAAACAACCGAGAAGTCAATTATGTGGAACAGCCCACGCACGGCAGCTGAGTGTTTGTCAGTGGGGGGGAGAGAGAGCGTCAGAGATGCCTGTTGACTGACCACAGAGTGAGAAGCAAATTGTTAGTAGGAGGAAGCTGGACATTCACGGTGAGAGTTGGTGAGCAATTAAAGTTCAAACACAAACCGAGGAGAGTGTGGTTAGGAGAAACAATGCGCGCAAACAACTTAATGGGAACATAAATGGGATTCCAAAATAGACCAAATCAAGGGCGTTCACAATCACGTAAAGTAACGTGGCTTTAGCCTTTGAATCTGGAAACAATTAAGCACATTTTATGTCAATTGACGCACTTGCCAAACCTGGTATGCAAATACTGTGCACCTTCAAAGCATGTTAAACCTGAAACCCAACAATACGTGGAGTCTGTAGGCAGTCTCCCAGGGAGGGCAGGTACATTTTGTTTTAAGATAATATCTATGAATGAGTTACCTGATTGACATAATTGCGTTCCTTAAAATGTATGATTGAATACAAAATTGTTTGCCTACAAATACAGTAGCTTTAGTTTTGGTCAGCCGGGGGTCTGAAACAACCAGAAACCCATCCCCATGAGAGTATCCAAACCAAACAGAGTTCCGTGCATCCGACCTACACATGAAATTCCTGCACATTGGCATGGAATATGCACTTCCTTATCCAGCTTATCTATTTCTGGAAAGTATTTGGCGTAGGCTGGCAAGAGCTAAGGCTCAGGGACTTACCAACCTGCAACTAATACTCTTTGGAATTAGATAAACAGAATGTGTCCCTTCCTAGAGACCGTGCAAGTTCTATTAACAACACAGGGAAAGTTCTATGTATAAGTTGCACGGGTATGCGGAACTCTGTCAGGTCTAGATACTCTGAAAGCATAATAATAATAATCATCCTTGCATTTGATATAGCGCCTTATCACGACTTGGTCGCAGAATATACTGTGAAGCGAATTGACTGTGTATTTTGTGGGCGAAATGCGGCAGCCAATTGCGCACAGCAGCGTCCTCACAAACAGTCGTGGATGGAGCGACCAATTTATTGAAGGGTAGGTTTCTGCATGTGTCAGATGTATGATCGACCAAAAAAAACATTTTTTATCAATGAACTTTCCACAATTCCACTTGGGAGGATTCAAAATGGAGTTGAATTCGATGTTGGCAACTAAGAGCAACACAAGGTGAGAAATACCATGTTATTGATTTAATCTCACTTAAGTTTTAAATGACCAAAAATGCTCTAATTGCACCTTTTAACAGAATTTGTTCCAACACAGGAAATCATTACATACCAATGAGCTGATGAAGTAAATTGCAAAAAAAAAAGGATAATAATGAATGTTTAATAACCATAAAATTAAGTGGACAAGAAATAAAATCACAATTGATCCCAGAAGGAGAAAAGCAAGTTGGAAGAAACTATTTAATAGAGATCTTCAGAAGTAATGAACCTGTACCTAAGTTACAATTTACCCATGAATGTTCCTCATTATAATAATAATAATAATCCTTGCATTTGATATTGCGCAAGGATTATAATGGGATATTATATATAGCGCATAATATAATGGGATTCCTGCATTCCTGCCAACAATACTGCCATCATCGTAGTTTTCAGTGTATCCCACAATTGTAGGATACGCCTGTGTGCCTTGCAAATCCCCACCCAATGAGTTCCCAACCTAACAAGTCCTGTGCTTTGGCAGAGTAACATTAACCCTGCAAAGACCCAAATGGCATTTCTACATAGTAAAGCTCACTACTCTCTATACTAGATACAGACTACAGATGGGGAAATCTAGTTAATCTCCACAACGTTTGCATCCCATTTCACAATCCCTGTACTTTTCTGAACACAGATCAATAGACACTCATAATTGATTAAAATATGTTAAAGATCTGAAATTAGAGAAATCACAATATCCTGAATCATCTTTTAATTCTTAACTGGGATTAAAAAAACACAAAAAAAGCCACACTGCCGGGACTTGGAATTTTATCCTGAAACGAAAGCCTGCTTAGCTCTGTAGGTAACAGTACCTGCATTAAGACACTCTCCCAAAAAGAAAGGGATGTGCTCAGAGTGAGATTAATTTGTCTCACTTGTATCTGACAGGTTCTTTGAAGGACTACAGCAAACCAGCATGATCTGAAGTACCAGCAGCAACGGTAAATTCTTGCAGCTAAAGAAATCCCTTGTGAAGATGACAAAGTGCTTTCCTGTGGCTGAACAAAATCCAAAGCAAAATAAGCGTTTTCTCAAACTGTGCAGTTCATTCTCACTTCAATTCTCCTGGACCTGCTAAGGAGTGTTTGGTACTGATTTGCTGTTTGGTACTGATTTGCCAGTGTGGACCAGTTATAAATGTTAACCAATTAAGACATCAGTGGTTCCATTCCTGCAGCCATTTGCCACGGGGAATAATAATAATAATCAATCCACGACTGTTTGTGGGAAGCTGCTGTGCGCAATTGGTTGCCCACAAAATACACAGTCAGTTCACTTTACAGTGTATATTCCGTGAAGCACTTTGAGACATCTCAAAGACGTGATAAGGCGTTGCATCAAAATGCGAGGATTATTATCGTTGTTATTATTATTATTGTTAATACTATTATTATTAATGACCAAATGCACCGAAAGACCAGATCACCGTGAAAAATACAAGTGAAATACAGATCGCCGCTGCTCTTCTCTTGTAGGAAACGGATGTCGACCAACACGACGGCAGATCAGAGAGCTCACCTGCTGTTTGAGCTGCTGCACCAGTCTGTCCTTCTCCCGTTTCAGAGCCATCACTTCATCTTGTGTCTTCTTCTTTTTGGAGGCGGACAATTCTAATAAGGCGATATTTGCATCCTTCTCACTGATGGCCGCGAGTAAAGCTTCTTGTCTGCAACAAAAAAAACAAATCCACATCTGATCAAACGATTCTCAGGCACCTCGAGCTGAACTTTCTGCAAATAATAATAATAATAGTTTCCTTTCTCCTCTTCGACCGCGACCTTCCTGTCTGTCACCCTCCTATCCCTACCCTCCAAACTTCATTTTGAAGCTGTTTTTTTTTTCCCCTTTAAGTTCTTTGCAGGACTACCAAAAAAAAACCAACTGAAACGTTCAGACTAAATTTAACATTTACCAAATTCTGGACGCTCTCAAACACTACGTATAGAGTCAATCTAGATCCAGGTGGAATCTCGCCCCACATCTATTCCCAATTGGCTGTTTAACCAATGTTTGTTTGGATATTACCCTGTTCATGTGAGGCAAAGAGCTTTCTTTCCTAAATAGACTTTGTACGGTCCACAACATTGGCGAGTACCTATATGGCTGACATCACAAGGCGTTGCCTCAAACCTTTTGGATACAGTAAGATTCTGGGATTGGCCTGGACATTATCCCTCACCATGTGGAAGACATTGAGAATAAAAAAAAAACTTTTACACATTTATCAATTTCCGAGCAAAGTAACAAATAATATACTGGTGAAACCAACACAGAATGGAAGAAAGTTACACTTTGTTATACATATCTCAACTAAAATACATACTGAAAAAATGATATGATTATAAAACCCCTAACACCGACAACATCTCCAAGTGTAGCTATGTATGAAAACATGTTCCTTTGGTTTAATACAGTGAATAAATCGTTTTATTCATATTACGTTCCGATTGACCTTTTCTATCGACGTGAAGTATGTATTTACAGAACACTGGATTCAATATTTTCTGCTACGTTTGTCAGGAATTGGCATCAGTCGTACATTCAATATTTCTATAAACTTAAAAGCTTCTATTAATCTGTGACGATTTTGGCTTATTTGAGTTAGCACATTCTTGCTCTGCCTACAAAGGAGCACAGGTTAGCCGTTTCAGCTTTAAACTATTGTGCCAGAAAGATCAGATTTCATTGAATAAGGTTGATCGCTGCATCAACACTTGAGAGAAAGACAAGCACAACATTTCTGGTCTCCTTTTGCCTTAAAGATTGGGTATTTCTAACAAACGGAGGAACAAACAGTAGGAATTGTAACATGCAGTTTGGTTTTCTTTAAGGAAATTAGGAGAAAATATCCCCATTTCACACGCTTCTCCTAAGATCTTCAGGCTTTGTTGAGACCCTACGCTGACTTCTTATTAACTGTGAAAATCAAACCTAATTGACACCATCTTCAACAGTTTCTAGTCTAAACAAAACGCACAGCTTATTTAGAATTCCTCCATTATGTTTGGTAAGTAGTACTGGGAGCTTAAGTAAAAACACAAGTAAAGTTGCTATGAATGCTTTGTTCTCTCGACAGGGTTTTCAAGAGTCAGTTAAAAAATGGATTACAAAAGGAATATGTTCCCTGGTTTGCCCAGTCTACCACACGTTTAGGAACAGACAAAAAGCCTAGCATTTTGCTTATCGCACTGAATGGAATTGGTGTCCATCAGACTGTACTCCCGATTCCCCCAAATCCTCTTCGAAACCATCCAGTTAATGTTGGTCAGTACTCCCGCCCGCTAATATCAACCCGATGGACCAGCGAACAGCTGTACGACACATTTGGTCTCACCATCCCCCATGCGAAGTGCCTCTTTAATTAAAAATACTAGCCATTCTGACTTTTATTTCCAAAAAGCGAGAGCCATTTTTCACTATTTAATCCCTACTATAAGATTGAAAATAAACAACATTACTCTTCTGGAATTCAGCACCGTGTTTTTTGGGCGCAATTATCTGAAGAAAACATCTGGAATTGCCTAGTTTATTCAATTAACTAACGTCTAGCGCAGAATCCTGGCTCTGATACACTACCTAATCGTAACATTAATCATTTCATTCAACTGCCTCGACTTAATATTGCTCTGTCTTCCAATCCTTTCATTCTCGGGTTTATTCAAAAAGAATGTACCAGAATAAACAAGCAAAAGAGGGTAGGAGAATATAAATCTACAAAATAATGTATTGGGTTACAGAATATGTACTTAGCTTAAGATGGCCATAAAACAGCAAAGGTACGGACGGACATGTAGAGCGCAGTTTTTGGGGGCAGTTGGCACAGGGTAGAGAAAGGATTTTATATGTAATAGGGAAACTCAAAACCACAGAGAAAATAGATAAAACGCTGCTATGAAAAGGGCAACATGGAGCTGCTGAACACTGATAAAAAAAAAGGGGGTAAAGTGTATTATTTTATCAAACGCTAGCCTAAACAGCTGTCAAAGGAATAGTTCTTAAACAAATAGGTGGTGGGGTGGTGGGGGGGGGGGTAGAATGGAGACAGCATGTAGAGGGAGCACCATTAACATTTAAACCTTTAAGGCAGTGTTAACAAATGACAAAAGATAATGAAAAAGGGAGAGCGAAAGGAAACTTGAAAAAAATCCAGTCACCAAACAAGTGATCTTTTCAAGGTATTAAAGATAAATAGAAAATCAGTTCAAATCGGGACCCATAAATAGTAAATGGAGAAAAGGTCTGTGGAAACACTTTGACGCTTGCACACATACACACACACACAAGTAATTTAATATGTATTTAAAAACTTGTTGTACCCATGAGGATGCTTCATATGTGCATTGATTTTCTGGTGAGTTATATCTGATATATGTTCAGCTTTCAAACCCACAAAGACTTTAGCGTTTGAAAAGTTCCGACACCTGTAATGCATGTTTTAGTGGAGCTCCCTTTGTGCTGGAATAAAGAGTGGTAAAGGATAAAAACATGGAAGAAAACGAAAACCTGTCCCTTCTGATTATATCCGAGAGAAAGAAAACAAGAAGAAAGTCGCAGATTCTAACAAGAGGAGAAGAGCTACAGATTGGTCTATACATATTGCAGTTAGAGTGATATACTGTGTTAAAATTGAGTGGCATTTCTAGTGGATTAAATATTTATAATATTCAAAAGAGATAATAATAATAATAATAATCCTTGCATTTGATACAGCGCCTTATCACGTCTTCAAGACATCTCAAAGCGCTTCACAGGATACACTGTAAAGTGAATTGGCTGTATATTTTGTGGGAGAAATGCGGAAGCCGATTGCGGACAGCAACGTCCCCACAAACAGCCGTGGATTGAGTGACCATATTATTTTTTAAAAAATTTTGTTATACCTTATGCACATCACAACAGAGGAGCCAGTACCTGAGTGCAATATGGGCAATGTTAGTGGTGGAGGAGACAGGTTTTATGTGTTCTATATTCTCGGCACGTATGCAACTTGTCAGAACTCATGCAACTTTAATGCAAAAAGACGACAATGGTGAAGTCAAATCACATCTGAGATTGTAAAACATTTTGAAACGGAATTGATATTCGTTGCTTATTGCACTTCAAATAACGCTACTAGGGTGAAATATGATTACAACCCAGAGTCATACAAAATAATCACTCTTATCAGGAGCTCATAGTTTTGAGGTCTGAAATCTTATCCTGACTTCAATGGAACTTCAGAGAGAAAACATTTTTTGCAGCAGTTTGTAATAATAATAATAATAATGTCGTAACGTTTTCCATTTGGAACGTAAAGGCAGTTGCAAGCTAAAAGGTTTGAGTAAGTTTGACTAGAAAACAAGCAACCAAATGCGACAATATATTCCACAATAAGACCCCAATCTAGTTTAGCGAGGGGTATATTTATACTCAACATTAAGCCCTTGATAGACTCAAAGGAACTGGCACATTTAAAGACCCTGAGATTGAACCGAGTTTTTAAGGTTTAAGAGCGGTTTCAAAAGAATGCAAAGCTCTAATAAGAGCAATCTGTGCTCGAGGGGAAAACTGAATCCAGGCACACTATAAAAGACACTCCGGTATATCCTGGAGAAAATAGCAGCTCTGTGGCTATACAGAGAAACCGGCTTGTGTAAAAACATTAAAGCACCGTTTATTAAAATCACATGTAAATGTGTGAAAAGGAAGCAACAGACATTTAAGCAGGATATAGCGGCAATAAAATGAGAAAGCGAATCAAAGGACTCGATGGCAACGAGGCACAATTCTCGTGACAGTTAACAAGAAAAATATTTAGTTACATAAACTGATAGATCATAATATGGTTGTCCTGGCTGTTTATACACAGTTCACGCAGAAAGCTTGGGGAAGGCTTACTCAGGTAGAGCATATAACAAGAGCAGCAATTTTAAAATTTCTTCCAGATATTTCTCCACTTGTATTGCGTGCCTTCTAGGCTGTGATAAAGTCACCAGTTTTGCCAACATTGCCCTGGTCAATTGCAGCAACATAGTGTTGAATCTTTTTTTAAATACTTGCACGTTGCTTTCGTTATTGCAGGTGGAAAGTGTTTAATTCTATCCCCAGAAGCGCACTAATCTATCCACTGTTTAGACTGAATGACTAAACACAGGACTTCTGTAATGATTTGAGGCCAGAGTTTCACAATATGAGAACTACCAGTGCGGCGCACACAAAATTTAAGTCTACTCTCACGCTGTTACACCCTCTGCCAGGGCCTGGTGTATAGGGTCAGCTCCTCACACAGAGCAATATCACAATGCAATATATCAAGCTTTGTCAAGCCCACTGTGATTAATCATTCCTTCTCTATGGGAATGATCATCCATGGAAATGTGATCGTAACGAGGCTCAATTGCATGGGAGAACTATAATAATAATAATAATAATAATAATCCTTGCATTTGATATAGTAACTTATCACGTCTTTGCAACGTCTCAAAGCACTTCACGGGATATGCTGTAAAGTGAATCAATTGTATATTTTGTGGGCGAAACGTGGCAGCCAATTGCGCACAGCAGCGTCCCCACAAACAGCCGTGGATTCAGTGACCAAAAATTATTTATTTTTTTGAAAGGATTATTACCCCCGGAAAGTGATCCGCGAATCGACCAACAACCGGGATCCTACTGACTGCTGGTAAA